AAATAGCAACAGTACAATTAGTTCATCACAAGTGTTATGGGTCAGATTTTCCAACATGACAACGTCTATTTCATTAAGCAAAATGGATAGTAGATGCGAGAGCTATATTTCATTCATCAAACATGCACCAAGCATTCTGATTTTCCCTATGGCTCTTTGTCTAAAATGAGTAATATTACTGAGCTAGTTACAATACTTACCTGTGCTGTTATTACATGGTGATGGCTATTTAAATGAACATAATTACAACCTAAATTCTTTAAAAGCAGAAATTAACATAACCATTATACTTTTTTTTTTTACAGGTATACTTCAATAGGGCATTTAAGAATTTCCTGCATAAGCAATGTCATTTATTCCTGGCAAGTCATCGTTTTTGTGTGCACAGAGTTCAGTTTTTCCCAAACTAGTAAGGTACTCACTTGAGTTACCTTCTTCCATCAAACAAAAATGCTTACTTGCTACTCAGATTTAAGGACAAGTCAGCAAGTTTGCAATGACACAACAGGTTAAGTTGCTTGATGTTTGGGCTTTAGTTGCCCGTTCTATACATAAAAAGATTTACAAAGTGTTTTCTAAAGCTGATATCCATGATTTATAATGACACAGTGTAAGTATGGGTTATTTCCATTTTTAAAAAAGCATTTCCTAGGAATCATTAACAGTGAGGCAATTTTTTAAAAAAATAGACTAATTTATCGTTACCAAGGAGTCTATAGATACCATTTATCCAAATCTTAAAAAGGAAAATACCCTCCAAAATATTCAAGTTCATGCAAGTTTCCCTCCAGGCCACTTTTTCCTTTATCCCATAGAAAAATTCTAACAATTCCATAGTGATAACCGTTCCATAAAAAGTATATAACTGCCAAGTCAAAACTGCAGAATTATGAAGTTCCTTCTCAGGAAGGAATGACCAGAACACCATATGTGAAAATGTTTTTATATTAAACAACCTTGATAAATTGGAACCTTTTCCAGAAACTCTCAGAGAATGACGGAACATATTTTTAACATACTGAAATTTTAAAAGACTTAAAATCCTACTTTTACCAAAACAAGTCCTAGTAAGTACAGTACTTACCCACAAAATAATGCTTTTATTCATAAGGATTTCCAAGAACAAACCCACCTAAACACCTAGCTTTAGGTTGAAGTCAAGTAATATGCCATGTTTTTTCTACCCCGTTAATGACTGTTTTTCCAAATTGGAAATCATATTTTTACTATGCTTATGGATACACTACTGAGATTTTTTTAAAGGGAAAAATTAGTGAAATGTCCTTGAATAATCACTGAGCTGCACGACTTTCTCTGTTTTCTCTGAGGTTTTTGTTTTTAAAGCAATGACTAAATATTCTAATAATAGCAATTTACCATATTTAGACATGCAGTTATCTCAAGTTTATCCACTGATACGGAATGACCTACAGTTTCCATAATCAGTATTTGAATTTGAATTATGGTTACACTAATAAATTAAATACCTGGAGACAATACAGCCAGCACTTACCTATGTCTTACTTACACGGCACATGATACTATCATGTATCGGTTTTATACTGATTAGTTTATTCTTTCAAACCCGGGGGGACCACTTAATGGAACAGCCAGGTATGATTTACTCTGGTATCTTCCAACATGATTTTCAAGGAGGGTTTTCCCAAATACTTGTCGAATAAAAAAAAAAATCTCAAATACTCACCTATGTTAGTTATGTGCCAATGCCCAAGGTGGAATTTAATCTTTGAAAAGCATTTGATTCCGATTAGCATTTTGGTTATCTTGCCTACTAAACCAGCAAGTTACTGGTAACTAAGTTATCACAAATATTAGTTGCTTTGTAAAGCTAGTTAGGTTAAATACAGAAAAACAAGGCAGCTGGAATTTTGAAGGAGAAAAAAAAAGAGGTGTTCATTCCATTACAGGGCAGGTTGTACAAGAGTAGAGACTTCTGACTGCCCACACCACTGTCCTCCGCTTCTAGAAGAATGTGGCACATGGTAAACCCTCAATAAATATTTGGTAAATAAACAGAGTGCTCATAAAAAACATATTATTTTATCTCTACACGTGTTTTAGTTGAGGATAGAAAACAGAACTCATTTGCGGAGTTCAGAAGCTCCAATATAAGTTCATACTGAAATCTGATTCTGGCAAAGGCTCCAGAATTTGGGATTACCAACTGCGAAATAAGGGTAAATTTACATCCAAGGCATTGTTTGGCAGATCAAGCATAGGCCTGGAAAACATCAAGAGCAGGTAGGCAAGAATTTCAAGTCACTATCCTTGTGCATGTATGCAGTACCTGTGCCAGCAATAACAAGTTAGCTTTTCTGGCAAACCCATCAAAATTAAGTCTAGAACTTTTGGAAAAAAAAAAAAAACAAAACAAAACGAGTATGTTTACTGTTCTTCAAGCTTAGAGGTTTAGCTATCTATGAGGCTGGCATGTAATTATGATCAATTACTTCTGACTTGAAGGCATTTAAAAAGGTATCTGACCTTTTAAGCAACTTTTAAAGAACAAGGAGTAAGACTTGAACTTATCCTAGAAACAACAGTAAATCACAGGTTGGGGACCCAACTTGGACACTCTCCCTTGGAAGGAAAAGAACTGTCACCTAACTTCCTGACCATGCCTGAAACAATATGAGCTACCTCTCAAATCTGGAATGTCCAGTCTGGCCAAGAAAGTCATGGGGGGCACTGGTTGCCCTACGGCAGAGGCAAAAGAAACAGGAAGAAAGCAAACAGGGAATGGAGATCTGTAGCTTGTGAGGGTGACCTCATCAATAACTTCCTCAAGTGCTAGGCGTGGTGGAGCACGCCTGTAATCCCAGCACTTGGGAGGCTGAGGCAGGGGGATCATTTTGAGTTCAAGACCAGACAGGGCTACAAAGTGAGCTCAAGGCCTGGCTGAACTGCTTAGGTAAACCCGGTCTCAAAAAAGAAAAACAAACAAACAAACAAAAAAACTTCCTCAAGTGTCCCTTGATTTCAGGGCACATGATTTGATTGCCTTTTCTATCAAGCTAATTATACTCAAGTAAGTACCTTCTAAGTTCCAAACCTGTGGTACCTGGGTTTAAAGAGGATTCATTCTATAAACTTTAGGCTTTACAAACAATAGCATTACACAGGGTGCCTCTGCAAGAGCCCCTCATCGGGAATTCATTATTTTATTTGTATTTATGGCCCTTAATCAGACATTTCATAGGTTAAAAGAATCTAAAAAACGAAATCTGGTCTTAACAATTCTAGTTGTGGAACTCATCCTTTGGGAAGACTTTCAGTGATTTCTCGGGGAAAATAACGAAACATAGGCATCCTTTTCCCCTTCATTGTCACAAAGACACTCCCTTCCAAACGGTTTCTGTTATTTTTTCCCAAATGCACACACACAAAAGGTAATCTATTGCTTTTACATAAAATTCCATCTTTCATTCTATCTTGTGCTCCCCCACCTGCAACTAACTAGAGTAGAGGTATAATGGATCCTGTATTTAAAGCCCTTTTCTACCTTATTTATGTATTTACGATTCTTTGCGGCCTTGTAGCCTAAGTTTAATTGTGTTGGGAACAAAGCATCACACAAATCACCCAGCCTAGGATAAGAGGGGACAAGCTAAAACCTCCCACGAAGACTGTGTGGACACTTGGTCTCCCTAAGTCTATAGTGACTGGTATTTCCAAGGTCAGTCTTGGGTCTCTCCATTTTGATGACTAATGTTAAATTGTTTGACTTCCTACAAAAATATTTAGCTGTTCTTATTTACATAATTTCATTTACAGCACCCACAGTAAGCACATGGTTGAACAGAACCCCTAGACGGACGAGAAGACAGGAACGAGATCCCAAGATCTCTCTCTTTCCAACACAGTATAGAGAGTTGAGAAAGGTTAAACCACAACCCGTTTTGTGGAAATTTCTGTGCATTCCTTTTCAACTTCCAACTATGTAGCTATGTACCTCTGTTTTAAAAAAGAAAAACACAACCACAAGATGAAGGAATTCCAGGATCACTAAGAAAACGTAACTTTCCTTACGCTCACTTTAACAACGGCTTCTACACACAGGAGACTGTGGACTGCTCCCTCCACCCCTTGCACAATACCTGCAGGGAAAGCAAGGGCAGAACACACAGAATCTGAGGGCACCGCATCTTCCACTCACGTCTAACCCTTAGGTGAGTCTAAGGTCAGTGTCAGCCCAGCGAGATGAAGTAACTCACACAGCTACCAGTTTTGAAAGACACTTTTAAAATGACGCTGTTTTGACACTGGGCATCAGCACTGAAACTCCTTAACTTTTAAAAGTCATTCTTTTAACGAAACTTTAATAAAGAAGAAACCCAGAGTATGACTGGCAAACATGTTTCTGCATTTTCTTAAGCCTTACAACTGGACTCCACCCTTGAAGTTCCCTTCTTAGTAATTACCACACCGCAACCTGCTACATCTCTCAGTCCCTCAAAATTCCCCCCAAGTCCGGGAAAAAATACGCGGGGGACGGTGAGGCACATCTCAGATTGGCTGGTTCCCTAAAAGGCATCCGAGCTCCTTAGGGGAGGGCAGGGAGAAAACGCTTCAGCGTTGCCGGGCGTTGGGGAAGCCTGCGCAGGTCTCGTTTTCCCCCTCGTCTTTCTTGCTGTCTGGCAAGGTCACCGGCTCCGGCTGGGGGCTTCGCCTGGTCAACGCGCGGCACCGGGCCTCCCCTACCGCCTCCTGCCTGGACTCTCCCCGGCCGGAGGATTTCGGCCGGACCTACCCCGGCGCGGCTCGCGGCTCCGACGGCGCGGGCGCGGCTCCCACTCACCTGACCACGTTGGGGTGCTCGAAGGTCTCCAGGTGCCTCAGCACCGCCACCTCGCGGATAGTGGAGAGCGGCATGCCCTCCTCGCCGGTCTGCACCCGCACGCGCTTCAGAGCCACGAACCGGCCTCCGTTCTTCAGGTCACGGGCCTTGAACACCTTCCCATAAGCGCCCTCCCCGATCTCCGCCACGCATTCGTACTGCTGGTCGGCGCGGCTCAGGCCGTCCTTCTCCATGCCGCCTGGACGCCGCCCGGCGCGGCGCCGCG